GAGATAACAAGGAATACAAAGCTAATCAATTATAACGGAATCTGTGCTATCAATCGTTATTTCCATGAGTTATTAAATATAGAACATCACTGAGTTTGGTACTGTACGAGAGAGATGTTTACATATAATTGGTAGAACTTGCTGATGGTAATTACAATGGTGCGAATCCTTTATCTTGATGAGGAGATGACCAAAATTTTTGATCATCCAATGGTATCATCAAATTCATCCGAAGGGTTGCCCAGAAGGGTATTTTTGTGGATCTTATCCTTGAAATTAAAACAAGCCATTTAAAGGAAAGATTTGACGATCTGATCACATGACAAAATCCATCAAGATGGATGGATATTTTCAAAAAAATAGTTCATATTCAAATAAACATCCAATCAACATAATGCCTCCAGATGAATCGGGCGAAATAGGTGCTTGTCATTAAAGCTCCGAACGAATCGAATCAAGTTGAATTTTAAAGTGATTCGATTCGACTCAATTTGAATCAAACCGGATTCCTAAATTTTTTTCTTATTGGAATGATTCGAATAAAACAAATAAAAATAATTTGAATAAAATAATAAAATGAATTAATTCGGATAATTCAATAAAACGAATAATTCAGATAAGAGTTTTTATTGATGACTGGTTTAAAATTAGAAAATTTTGAAGCTATTATTCTATTACTACTGGTAGTATTTATGTCCGAGTATGGTAAATCATCAATAAGAGAAGTTACAGGTGGTGTTATAGGTGGTGTTAATGTGAATAATTGCTGATGTTGTAAATGTTGTTGATGACTATTATTATGTTGTTGATATTGATGATGTTGTTGTTGATATTGATGATGTTGATTTTGTTGAAAGTTATTTTTTGGTTGATCGTCATCGTCCACGTCAATTAATGAAGATATTGACATTGCATCGGTTATAGAAGACGTTTGTGCAGCAGGTGTTGGTAGTGGGGTATAATTGAAATTAAAATTTGAAGGTGGAGGAAGACGAAATTGATGGTATTCATCACGTTGATATTGTTGAGAATAAGTTTTATTATTATTACTACTATTTAAATGATGTTGATGTTGTTCAGCTGCATTCAAAAGATTTTCAAAATTACATCTACCATTATTACTATTATTACTGCTAGAGTGCTGCTGATAAGAACTATCATTATTATTATTATGATTTGAAATGGTAGAGCAACAAGGTGAAGCTGGATAAATATTTGAAGCCGGGTTTTCCATACTTCTTTAATTTTTAATTATAATTTGAAAATTTAATTAGTTCGAAAATTTTAATGTTTTAGTTTTGTTTGAAAATAATATAGATTCAAAAATTTTATTAAAAAAAAAAGAAAAAAAAGAAGAAAATTCCAAGTTGTTTTTCTACGGTATTTATATATTGTGTGTGATAAATGAGATCAACTTTGCTGATTTTAATTTGATTTCTGGATTTTTAATTACAATAATATTTATACATTATATTATTATTTATATCGTATGTAGTGCAAAATAAACATGAACTGTATAGTGTGAGATAGTGTGGGGGATCAAAAAAGGGTTTTTTATCTTTTATCTTTTATCTTTTATCAGCAAAAAAGATCTGATTATGAATTGCGTTTCCTAATTTATATTTTTTTTCATGAAATTAATCGGAAATCCAAATACATTACATACATTGCATTGCAGATAAAATAAATAAAAACAAACTGATAAGAATATTTGTTATCAGTATTTAAATATTTATATGTTGTTCTATTATTTTTTTATATGGTGATGATGAATTCTCGTGATGAATTTCAAATTGCAAAAACAAACAGATTAAAAAGATACTGCTGTATTACATTCATTATATTATTATTATTATATTATATATTATATTATATTATATATTATATATTATATATATTAGTACGTATCACTCATTCAATTCAATTCCTATTAAAACTATTCCCACGAATATTTGACGCCTACATTGTGAGAAAAGTCAAATAAGCAATGTGTAAATGAATGTGATTGATTAATTGATTGATTGATTGATTAATTGATTGATTGATTGATTGATTAAAATCAGTTGATTAACCTAAATGGTAATCATAATTTAGAAATTGGCTTTAGAAATATTAAACTTTAGAATTAAACCTTAAGAATCAAATTATCAAAATTGGAATTTTTGAAAATTTTAAATAATATCAATCAAAATTTTAAAAAATATGCATCAAGGTAACTAAAAATAAATATAAAAATAATTCGTATAGATAATCTTTTTTATAATTCATTCATTCATATTTATTTCTCATATTAATTCTCACATTAATTCTTGCATTCATAAATTTCCATGTTTGTTGTCTTATGATCTTATCTATGTGTTCACAAATAAACATTAATAGCTTTCTTATCAGTCGGTTATGTAATTTATTTTTATTTATAATATATTTTATTTATTTATATTATTATTATTGATGTTTGATGAATTTGTAATTAACTATTTGGCATAATTGCACTTATATAAATGATGAATATATTTTATTATTATTATTTTGTTTGTTTTTAAATATCCGAATTCCACCGATAAGTTTCCCACAAAAAAAAATTGTGCATCTTTTTAAATTTTTCAATCTTCTTCTCTTCTATTTTCTATTATTTATTCTAATTAATTAAATTAATTAATTAATAAATAATAAATAAAAAATGTCAACTATCAAAGATAAAAATGCCACATTATCAACATCAACAACATCAACATCAGAAAATAATAATAATGTTGAAAATAATCTAAAAGAATTCGAAATTGCCAATCATGTCAAGTATTTTAAACGTTGTCTAGAAATGTTGCCTGAAAATTATACGAGCAACGACACACTTAGGTAGTATTATTATTAATATTATTAATTTGTAAATAATTTAAAGGATTTAGCAATTGGTAAAAATCATATGATGTGCATATATATATATATTTATCTACTTGCTACTTATGCATACTTGTATCATAGAATGTCATTGGCTTATTTTTGTTTATCTGGATTGGATTTATTGGGTGCCATTGATATAGAAATTTCAAAAGAACAAAAGAAAGATTGGATTGATTGGATTTATTCTCAACAAATCTTGCCTAATTTAGAAAAACCTGGTATTTCATATTTACATAATATATTTTATATATAATATTTTAAAATATTTTTTTAAATATTTTTTTTCTTGGTCAAATTTTTTTTTAGAAATCAATGAAAAAATTTGTGGGTTTAGAGGTTCACCATTCTCTGGTACTAAATATGATCCAAATGGAGTAACTATTTTATATAATTAAAATAAATTATTGTAATTATGAATTACAATTTATCAATATTCATCGTCGTTTAATAAAAAGTAGTCGCGCAATTCGAAATTACCATTCGACGCTGCAAATTTAGCAATGACTTACACTGCTTTATGCTCTCTGCTAACTTTGGGCGATGATCTTGCATGTGTCGACAAGACAGCAATTATTAATTCTTTAAAATATTTGCAAAATGATAATGGAAGGTGATATATTATGATCTTTTTGTTTTATGCAAATCATTCAAACAATTAAGGAATAATTATTTGTGACAATTAATTTATTATTATTATTATTTGTTTAGTTTTACACAAACATATCAAGGGATGGAATCAGATATGAGATTTGTTTATTGTGCTGTCGCAATATCTTCAATATTAAATGATTTCAGTGGGATCAACATTTTAAAAATTGTCGACTATATAAAGAATAGTCAGGTAAATAGATACCTATTTGGTTCGGTTTTATTTTTAGATTGTTTCGTGTAATTCACGTTCAATTCGTGTAATTAATTTATTAAAGTCATATGATTATGGAATTGGTCAAGGCCCAGGATTTGAATCTCACGGTAATTTAAAACTTATTTTCGTCAACTAACCAACAAACTAATTGGCTAATCACTACCATTAATAATTAATAGGTGGTTCGACATATTGTGCAATTGCAGCTCTTTCAATACTAGATAAAATTGACGAGGGCCTGCTCTCTAAAGATGAAACGATATTTTGGTTATTATCGCGTCAAGAAAATAATGGATTCCAAGGTAGAGCCAATAAGCCTGAAGACACTTGCTACTCTTTTTGGATTGGTGCTTCTTTAAAGGTTGCTAATTTATTAATTATTTTTTAACTTTGGAAAATATTTATACTCATAAGGTACTCATACATATAGATTTTGAAAGCTTTTGATTTTGTTGATTATAAAAGAAATCGTGATTTCTTAATGACTACTCAAACAAAATACGGCGGGTTTTCAAAATGGCCGGATTACCATCCAGGTAAATAAATAAATACACACATACACACATACACATTTAATTAAATAGATAAATAACAAAAATAAATTTTTTTTTTCCAAATCAATTCTCGGCTCTCTCTTTTTTTCTATCATCCTCCCAAACCTTCCCTCCAAAAGATGTTTTGCATACTTATATGGGCTTGGCAGGATTATCATTGATGAACGAGGATGGTTTATCATCATTAGATCCGGAGTTGAATATTTCCTCAAGATCAAAAGATCGATTATTAACATCTTGTAAATTTCATCATCTCCAATGAAAATAAAATACTAATTGATTGTTTGAAGGAAAAAAAGAGAGATAGAGGATTGCATATAATATATATAAAAATATTGTATTGTGTATATATATACCATAGGATTTTTATCTCGTGATCACTAATTAAATTATTTTGATATTTGTAAATTATTAAAATACTCAAGTTTTATTATTATTGACTTTGTGTGTGAAAAAAATTATTTACGAATTTTGTCGTATGGCGCAGTAAATGATCCAAACATATTTTTATTATTTTTAGCAATCGATTGGCATTTTTTTTTTTTTTAAAAAATAAATTAAAATGGATTCAACAATTTTGGAAAAATATTTCAATGAAAATGAAAGATTATTAAATACAGAAAATTTTTATGATGTAAAAATATACCTTGGCGTAGAACCAAACATTAAAGAAATTCATGCACATGCATCTATTGTATCTGCACATTGTCCATTTTTTAGCAATGTATTGACTAATGCAATAAAAAAAAATGGATATTATATTGTTGAAAAAACAAATATTAGTGAAAAATACTTCAACCCTATTCTCAAGTAAGTTTATATTAAATAATTAAATAATTATTATTGAATTTGTAATAATAATATTCATTTATTTATTTGTAAGATTTTTGTACACATGTAAAATAGAATTAGATAATTATACTGGAGTTGATATTTTGCAAATATTAATTACAGCTGATGAACTTGGTCTTGAGTCATTCTATAATTATATAATGAACTACTTTATTGAAAAGCATGAGGATTATATAAAAGAAAATCCAGTTAAAATTTTACAATCAATTTATTCTAACAATCAATTTGCAGAATTGAAAAGCATCTTCCTAAAAAAAATTTGTGAATTTGGTGAAAAATTATTTCAGTCAAATGAATTTAAATTATTGGAAAAACCAATTTTATTGGAAATTCTTAAAAGGGATGATTTTTATGTTGATGAAATAGTTATTTGGGAAAATGTTCTTAATTGGGGATTAGAAAAACATCCAGAAATCAATAACAGTGAAGTTAAAAATTGGTCACCACAAAATTTTGTTGATATGGGTAATACATTAAAAGAATTTATTCCTATGATTAGATTTCAAGATATTTCTAAAGAGGATTTTTGTTCTAAAATTATTCCATACCTGAAACTTCTTCCAGAGTTAATTTGGAATGACCTTTTACATTATTATATAATTGCTGACAATCAGCAAGCTTTGAATTTATTACCATCAAGAATTACAACACTTGAATCATTGACAATCAATCAAAAACTTACTTTACTTTTTGCAAGTTGGATTGATAGAAAAAGTCCACAATATAGTTCATTAAAGGAAGTTAAATATGAATTCAAACTTATATATCGTAGTAGTAGAGATGGTAATAGTGTAGCTACATTTCATCAAAAATGTGATAATATCAATAAAACTCTTGTAGTAGGCAAAATACAAAATTCAGATCAATTAGTAGGAGGTTATAATCCACTTGATTGGAATTTAAATAATGGAAATATCATATTTAAAAATACAACTGAAAGTTTTATTTTTAATATTAGAAATAGAAATGATATTAATTCTGCACAATTTAGTTATGTTATTAAACAAAATGCAATTTGGTGCCATCCTTCAAATTTAGCTATTTTTGGTAGTAATGGTGATC